TAAATATAGTATAACGGGCCCAAAACCCCATTTTGCTTATTAAGGCCCCTATCTTACATAATATGACCGGCATGGTCGGGTTCATAGCTGCCCTGAGAGCGTACACCCTATCGGTTCGCCGTGCAGGTCTACGTGATCGATGACGAGTACTTGCTCCTTGTCTTCGATCAAGCCCTGGTCTTGTTCTTAGATAGCCAATAGGAGAGCTTTAAACTTTTTTGCCTTATCTACTAGGTCTATCCTAAAAAGTTTGAACTTTTTGGGCCTGGTTGCTGAAGAAGAGAGTGTTTCTGTGTAGGATTCGGATATAGCTTGCGCTTTCGTGGCACGGAAGGGCGGGTTAGAGCTTGGGACCCGAGGGTTTCAAGGGAAGCTTTCGGGTTTCTGAGCTTCCAACTACTAAAGCTGAGTTTAGGGTTTAGGGTTTAGGGTTTAGGTAAGTATTAAAGCTGAGGTTTGATGTTTGGTCTTGGCAGGTTTAGGGTTTAGGGTTTAGGGTAACTTGGGGGTTGAAGGACACCCGGAGGCAAAGAGGGCTTACCATAATGTAGGCTTTAGCCACGGGTGAGGTCCCGATGCCACATGCTGAAGCCTAAGATCCGAAGGCCTAGCTACAAAAGAGGACCCGGGGTATTCCTGGTTGACCGAAAGCCAGGAACCACTCGAAAAACACATACAGAAAACGAAGGGCAAAAGAGGTGGTTCCATAGCCGGAGCCATGGGGTAGGTTAGTGTGTATGGTTTAGGGTTCAAAAGAGGGAGTAAGTTAGCGGATCTATGGGTACAGACTCTCTAGAAGCTCTTTGCACAAACTGGCCACCTCCTAAACCAGCCCAAAACTCAAAACGCCTTAAACAAGAAAAGCCCGATATCCTAAACCCCAAACTTCAAACGATCCGCAGTACTTCAGTCTTGCCCATTGGGCCAGTATTGCCACAGACCTTGCCAGGCTTGTCCGAGTGTGAGTGTCAAAACCCCAAACCATCGCGGTTCCGCTTCCCGAGCTTTTGGTTTACAAGCAATCCGACCTCAGACCACATGGGAGTTTCCGAAAAATAAGGGGTACCTTCTTTGGGGTCCTTATAATAAGAATCCTACTATTTAGGGTACTATATTAGGGTCCCCTATTTTCGGAACCCCCCACATGCCTCGCCTGGATTCTCCGAGTGTGAGCGCCGAAACCACCGCAGCTATACACTTAGTGGCTGAGTAGGTAGCCTTTACCCTTTTGGGGCTCTTATAATCCTACTATAATTCAACAGGTTAACCCTTTTGGGGCTATAGACCCTAAACCCTAAACCTATAGGGTACTCAGCCCCTAAGATACAGGAGGCTTCGCCAATCCACCCAGTCAACGAAGCGTGGTGAGACTCAGTAGCACGAGCCGACCTGCACCTTTAGAGCCTCGCCTGGCTTCTCCGAGCTCTGAGAGCTTATAAACCCTAAACCACTGAACTCCAAACCGGGTTTAGGGTTCAGGGTTTAGGGTTTAGGGTTTAGGGTTCAGTGTTTAGGGTTTAGGGTTTATGGACACAAATGTCTGAGCCGAATCCTGCCAGGGCCAGCATGTCGGCCCATAACTCGCCTTCCTATTCGACTGCCTCCACGTCCGGGAACAAGAGGACCCGGGATTCAGGGGCTTGAAAGCTTTCAACCATAGGGATCTAGTGGGATCTGTGAGGGTTTAGGGTAGAAGGGCTTGGGGGGCTTTAAGGTTTTGAGTTGTCGGGTTTAGGGGTTTGGAGCTTGGGACTTCTTGGTGTCGGGTTTTAGGGTTTTTGGGCTTAGGGCTTAGGGCTTTAAGGTTTAGGTTTTAGGTTTTGGGTTTAGGGTTTTTGGGTTTTTGGGCTTAGGGCTTTAAGGTTTGAAAGCTTAGGGCTTCAGCTCTCCTTTCAGTGAACCGGGTCCGCCTAGCTGCGATACTCGAGAGTTGGTAAAAGCATGTAGCCGGAAACCCTTCAAAATAGTAGGGTCGGTACGGCACCATATCTATCGGGTTCATGACCGCCTGCGCGAGCTCGTCAAGTTGAAGCTGAAGGAGAAGGCAAGCCTGCGATTCACAGCACGGCTGCTGACCACGTCCTCCGGAGGCCCAGGCTGAGGGAACCGGTGGCACGCGCCAGAGGCCCAGGACAACGTGGCGGCGATGCCTTCCTCTGGGACATGGTCCGGCACATGCCAGAACCTGTGGCAAAAACCCTAAACCCTAAACCCTAAACTGCACCCTCAACTTTCAACGTAACCCGAAACCTGGGACACCCGAGCAGACGCCTCGCCCGGACTGCCCAAGCTCTAAGAGTCGACCCCCTATAAAAGTGCACCCTTAAAGGGCGCACCCTCTGAAACCACAATTCCCGAAGCCCGTTTGCGGGGCGGCTCTGTCATACCTCCGGGTAGTTTAGGGGTCCTTAAACCCACCAAAGCCTGTTGCAAGATGATACCAGTAGCTGTTTCGAGGTGATCTCGCGAGAGAAAACTTGTATCAAGAAGAGGTCTTTCAGGCCACATCAACGTCTTTTGGGTTAGAGTCTGAGCTATGTTGTTCGGCTGAGGGGGTGTAGTAGTTTTCGGGTGTTGTTTCTGGGGTTCAGGTTTTTGGAAACCCAAAGCCCCGAACCGTTTTAAAGTATGGTGACGGCAAGCTTTCAGCATGTTTGAAGGTCACTAGCTCTGAGTTGGAGCAAACTTCTTCACCCTCGCAACGGGACTGAGAGATATGTTGTTTAGATCCTTTAGCTTTTGGGGTGAACGCCTTCCGTGGAGGTCTTCGCTTTGAGGGCTGTCTGAGGCCTTATGATGATGACTACGATGATGATGATGATGATGATGATCCTAATCCCGAAACCCTAAACCCAATGATGATGATGGTTGTGGTACTGGTGGTTGTGGCGGCATTTGGTGGTGTAGGGGGGGGGGGGGGGGGGGGNNGGGGGGGGGGGGGCGGTGGAAGCGAATTCGTTAGTGCAAAGCTTTATGGCCTCGTCATGTCTTGTCAGTCATACCGTCATACCCCACTGCTCTATGATCGTGGCAAAACTCAGCAAGGAATTAGAACCCTCACCCCTAAATTAAGCCTTACACCATCCCAGACCCCAAAGCAGGAGAAAGAAAGGCGGCGCGCGAAGCGTGGCCGGATCCGTAAGCACCTTGCGCTGCACATGCGGCTTTCTCTTGGTAACCTTCTGGGTTTTTTGAATAAAGTAGGGCTGCTAGAGTCGGTTTGGGGTAGCCATATATGTGCGCCAGGCTTACTTCGCAAGTTAAAGGGCTTTGATATGTTTAGATTTATCGGACAACTGTGGCTCTTGGAGTTTTGGAGTCTAAAGTTGGGGGTTTAAGGTTTCGTGCTTCAGATGTGTCAGATGCTTAGGGTTTCTGCCACACAAGTGCAGCAGCTCTCGGAACCAGGCGGGCATGTACAAGTCTGTGCAAAAAAAAACGTTTGGTGTTTCTTTTTTTTTGTGTGTGTGAGTCTTTTTAGAACATCGAGCTACACTGCGAGGTGTGTTTAGTGAAGGATCCCACACTTCAAGCCCAACGTCAATATAGTACACATGTCAGAAAGTGGGGCAGAGGCATAGGTGCCCTTCATTACCTCAATGCTAAGCCCATAGGCCCTATTGTGTAACCCTAGTCATTCACGGAGTCCCCGAATCCTACCACTGTATTGGCGACGTCAACCCACTGACAAACATAGGGGCCACCCCAGCCCCACCCTGAAGGACTTAAGCCCCCAAGCCCCAGAAACCCTAAA